AAAATAAATTTTCAAACATGGGAGCATTTGGAAATCTTTCTTCAGTCTAACTTTTCTAAATTTGTACCTTCGTTAGGTAATTAGTCCATTAGGTATTGTTCCAATGGTTCCCACCTTCTGTATATTGATAAAAGTGCCTCCACAGAGCCTCGGGTTGCCAAAATCCACCGATGTCCCAGGACCTGATGTAGAGTTCCTTGTAATCTACAGTATCCACCTGGAAGTGCTTCACCGGCTCAAAGGAGATGACATTGCCGAGTTGAGCCAGAATTGTCTTTTTTCCTCCATTATCCAAGCCCAGCATCAGCACCCTTATTACTGGCGCCTCAAATAGGTAAGCATAAAGGAGGCAACAACACTGACCCATCGCCTAGTTATAAAACAGTCAAAACGTAGATTGAATTAGACAAGTATACCAAATTCTTCACCGCATAAACGCGCAACACTGAGTCGCAAATTCATCATTGCCGATCACATCTGGTATTTTGTGTTGATGGTGACTCACGCACCTCAGGATGGAACTGTTGTAAATGTGAAAGTGTGTGTCCACAACTTTTGATGAGATACATTAGAGTGGATGTGTTTGAAGGGTTTAACCGCCGGGTGTAAGGAGTGTGATTCCAGCACCGATTGGACAACTTCATTGTTCACTGGCCAACATAATACACGTGTTTTTTTTTAGTTCTCTTGTTTGTGACGTAAAAAGACATCGGCCCAAGGTAGTTCATGTTGTGTTGGCTTAATGAAAACTCCTGAATACCTTCAGAAATGGAGTGACACTTTCTAATGGGATCTGTGTGACAAAAGGTAAGACTTGCTGGGTATGTCTAGACTGCAAGGCAAAGCAGCAGCAACTGCTGGTCTTTTATGTCAAAAGTGTGGTGTGCGATTAAAATAGGGAGTGAAACGTGTATCAAGACCAAAAGAGGCAAAAAAATCTTGTTAGCAAATGTAACTGTGGCGGTACACCTCCTGTTGTCTACACACACAACAGGCGAGGGAATTGGAGTCGCACAATAAAGTACCAAGACATAGTCACTAAAACAAAACCCTCTACTGGACGCCAGTAAGACGTACATCGCTTGTCTGATGGATGACAAGTCGACGGACTAAAAGAAACAGTCGATTACAGGAGTGATCATACGCGTGTCTCGGTCCCCAAACGAAGAGTAAAATTGCCTCGCCATTCGAGTCTGCACTTTTGCCTCAAGACCGCCTTATTAGGCACGTAAAATGTGCCCCAAAATGCACAAGGCTGAGAGTCCACCTCCTTTGTGTGTGGAGGCCTGCCAACAAGTGAAAGTGTTTTCGAGCCTTAAATTGCCTTCCCTTGGAAGGTTATTTTTGGTAGGACGTTCAAAGCAAGTTTTGGTGAGGCAAGCATGCACCCTCCGGAATCTGACACAAACATGTTTGCGTGTTTGTATCCATAAAAGCCTATTTGCAAAATACAGAGCCAAGTCACCAATCATTTGGCCAATTTCTCCTCCCACTGTTGAGGCAAGCTGCAAGCATTTCCGGTGACTGCAGTGAGTACCGCTATAACAGCATAAGTCCCTCGGTTTAAAGCCTCCATAAATCAAACCAAAGTCTTGAGGTTCCCTCGAGGTTACGCTTTTGGATTCGGCATTTGAGACAGTGGCAAGGATTTGCTTCAAAAGGTGGTTCCTTGGTTTTATTTACCTGACCTAAATCCATAGCTAAAAACCGTATGAATAATTTCAAGGAATTTCAACAAATAAGCCATTCCGAGACAAAATATTAACGTTATAAAGTTTATTTGTTAGGGACTTTAAATTCAGTTTCTTTGGTGTCATACGGGCATGGAGGAGGAGCTTTAGGTGCAAAAATTCTAATCCAAAGCCATGTATCCTGGCACATTTGAATTCGGACACGTTGCTGGGTGGATGGGGTTCGTACAAAACCGTCAGTTGAGATTAGGAACATAAAAATTGCAAGGAAGTTTATAAATGTTCAGAAGAACCTGTGGAGTGGGTCAAGAATTCCTCATTGATAAGTCCGGTACACTTACCAATGTTTTAAAATGAGTTAGCAAAAGTGTTTGTTTATTTGTGTGACTTAATTGCTAACTCCTTGACTTCCAGCTTAGACATAGTTTTAGGGGAACTGTATTCCGTCTGCCATGGCTTAAGCCCCAATTATACCTGTTCTGTAGGTAAATACGACGTAACGTGTTCCATTATTCTGCGTTCCTCTGCCTGCGAAAGTCTCGTGACGCAAAGTTATGCCATATTAATTTGTTTATCTTCATTAATTTGGCAATCGTTCGCTACCTTAGTCGTTAGTATCTTACGAACATAGTCAGTAAAATAACAAGCAATGCGCTGGAACAGTAAAATCATATACTGTTCCTACAAGTAAAAAATTGCAAGAATAAGACTTTAAATGATGAGCAACGAAGTGGCAAATATCTGCAATCAATTATTTACCAACGACCGAGTACCACCCACATCTTGGGTGAAGAAAATTGCGCCATTGGACAAAATCCTATCGAATAAATACCACTCTTTCTTAAATTGAAGCCCAGAATCTAATGAGAATTTTTTTTCCAGAAACGTAATTTTCCATCTTGGTTACTGTTGCAATGAACATCCAAATTAAATTGTCCCATTCGGAACTTAGAACCCGACCGAGGTGGCGCCAGTGGTTGGAAGTGAGGAATAAATCTCGATGCTACTCCCGGTTTAAAGACTTTCGGCAGTTTTACTATCTTTGTACATCCAAATGACCAGTTCATTGCCCTAGCAACCTGGAGCGCTCACTGTCAAGTTAAATGGCAAAATTTAAAAGGTGTTTAATTTGTTGCTATAACGATGTTTGCGAACTTAGGGTCGCCTCCTGTTTTTAAACCTCGTATAATAAATCGCTGACGGAGTTAGAATAAAAAGGTGATTAAAATTAGGATTTTTGTCGAGTATTTTTTGATTTCGTCAATATTTTATGGGCACATTTAGTTGGCAACTTGGCAAAAAGAGGACAGTGTGGTAGCTACATTTAGACAGAAAGTAAAGCAAGGCACAAGCACCTCAATTAAGGTTAAATTAACACTTTACAGAGAAACATGAAGAATATGTTGGAGTGTGGAAAGTGGTACTTGGAATAGCCATAGCCATATTCGTGCACCAACTTCAAAATATATACTTAATTTACTATTGCTGTGGTCAATACAAAAGTGAATGCTTTAGATATTATACACGATCTTATTCAAATAAAATAAAGCAAGCTAGGTTTTTTTGAAAGTATCTGCTAACCCATTAATAAAATAACACATAAGATGCCACAACATTAAAGTTGCCAAAACAAAATAAACTTTTCGTACCGACTTTGTATTTGATGCAATTGCCTCAGAAGTCGTGAGAGAGACGATAGTGAATAGAGATTTGATGTATTGACGATGCGACAGGTGGGGAGAGGGACAGTGACATGGCTTATTATGTGGCGGTTTTGATGATGATCTGGAGTCACCTCACCACGACAGCCAAGAGGGAAGAATTGTGTGAGGGGAAATGCATTTCTGCCCTCGGGCACATAACTCTACACCCCCGCCCCGCCACACGAAATCCACCAATCCGTTGATTGGCCGCTGCCTAGGGAATTTCACCAGCTGCATATACTGCTGCCACTGCTGCCGCTTCTGTAGCTGCAACCACTGATGCGACTGATCGTTCTGTCTCACAAATCATTGCACTCGAAAATTATGGCAAAGTAGACTATCAAGACACAAGGGAAGGCGAATAGTATCCTTGTGTTTCCATTGTGTTAATGTTTCCAATGACGATGGAAACAGCAGGGCTGCCAATATCCATCACTCGTCTTCCAAATTTTCGTAATAATACAGTTCCCGATCTGATGAGGCTGCATTAAGTGCAGTACTAACTTTAGCGTACGAATACAAATAAAAGTAACAATCTTTGAATAATACAACAGGTTTCTTATTGTTATACGCACTTTTTGGAGATGTGAAAGGTGACATTAAAATCCCGTTCGAAGTATTTGGCGAAAACAATCGCACCAAACCAGAAAGGCAAAGTTTATGGGTTTCAATCTCATCGATGAAAATGGAAAAAATTTCTTAAGATTAGCATTTGACCGTCTTCCAATGTTTTAAACGCTTGTAGGTTTGCGATCCTCTGAGGCTGCAATTCGTTGTGCTTGGTTGGCCACCTATTTTGAGCGACCGTAGGCACATCTTCAGAGGCTTGTCAGCTGTGTGACGTCTTCTAAACTTTAGCAATAAGCTAAAAATGAAATTGTCATTTGTTTTAGACTTGATAGGAATAACCACAGCCATATCTAGCATCAAGTTAAGGGCGGATATGATCAAATAATGATGGCCTAGAGATTGCTATTTACGTGCGAAGCAGTCGAATTGCGTGACGCACTTGACAAACCTGACACTTTTATTGACAGTAAGTGAAACTAGCATTCCTCACCTTTCAACATTGACAGTCCCTGCCACCGTTTAAATAAAAAGGAGTAGAACGCCCTGACGTAATGGAGGTGCAAGAAGTGGCGAAGCTTATTTGACAGTACTTGCCTCCAAACTGTTACTGTTATGAGACAGTAAGCGAGGTATAAAGGTCAACACCAAAAAGTCCCTCTTCAATGCATTTCCTCTACCTTCTATGAGCGTTTTTAGGAACTGGGATGCAACAATAGATCACAACGGTCGCTACTCACACACTTCAGTAGCATGTGCAAGATCGACCTATAATCTGTCCATGCGAGGTTTTGGCATCGTCATTATCAACACAGTAGACCAATGTAGGTTAATGCACATAATTTGACCTGACTTTTGCAAGCGTCCAATGCCCGATTCTGACCTGAGACCTGCACGTGGCACGCCGACACGTGTTCAATCTGGAATTCATGTATTTGGAAGGGACGCTGAATGCCTACACGATTTGCAACCAACGCTGCAAACCTACACCAAACAAGCAATCTACCTACCCGCATAGACTTTACATCACGCTTCAACTTTTCAGTCTGTATTTCAGCACTGGGTCGAATGATCCACTACGGTGTGAGGCCGCCTCCAGGCATAAGGAGTCACAATACAATTCAATTCTCACATTATCTGCGTTTTCTTTACTTAAATCCAGTGCAGTGATAGCTAAGGGCAATGAAATAAGTCCCATCGACAATCCAGTCTAATTGTTGTTGCTGTTGGTGTTGATTTTAGTTGTCAGCAAAGACTTGAGATGCTACCACCGACTTCTTAGACTTCATCCTAAATTTTCGATTAATTACTCGATGTTTCCGTCAACTTTGTCCCTCGAAGAGACTTAGAGCGCAATTTAAGCTTGTAAGCCTATGCAATACCGAAAAAAGACAACCAAGAAACATCCTCTTCTAAAGACTTCATGAAGAAGGATTCAGAGCCCAGGGCAGCACCTACAGCTACATATTCCCTCCCACAGCAATTTTTACGCTCTCGGGCAGAAGAAGAAGAAGAAGAAGGAGAAGGAGGAGGAGGAGGAGGAGGAGGAGGAGGAGGAAGGAGGAAGGAGGAAGGAGGAGGAGGAGGAGACGACCAGACGGACACCTCAACACAAATGCAAACCTACTTTACTAACTGCACTCCTCTCCTTTTCCTATCTTCACCCAATAAATGTCATAGAAGAGCAATGAAAACAATAAACCTACTTGTTTACAATTCCATTGATTCTCGTGTGATCGTTTTTACGGCTTCACTATTCGAGCACCACGACGGTCTACCTGCAGACAACGCCACCGCCACATTGTCTCAACAAAGCCACCAATTCTTCATGAGAGAGAAAAAGACGAAACAAGTAGCCATAATGTGTATGTGTGTTCACATATCAACATAAAACGTTAGCCTTCTTCATTCACATTCTAAAAATAGATCACAAGGAGAGATGTAGCACAGAGAAGAAGTGCAACGCGTGATAGTATGAAATGGCTTTGGTGTGAAAGACATGGAGGCGAAACAAAAAAAAATATGTATATGTATATCTACAATCCATTCGCATGATGTTAGTTGAGATAAAATCCTGTCTGTTCCATTGCTGTCATGAGGTAATGACGCAACTCCTCCGCACTTGAGTACTCTGGCAACTTCAAGTAATGCGCACAAGTATTGACACTGGGATAGGGTCCCTCGGTGGGATCTTTGCAAACAATTCGTAGACGTGGATTAAGATTCTTCAAACCACCCACAGGAAGACTGGAGGAACCACTGATAAAACGAAGGAATTTGCGTCTCTCCGCCGTGTCAAAGGCGACCAAAACATCAATTAGAAGGAGGAAAGCGGGAGAGGACTTTGTGTAGCCTAGGATGGGTGAGGTGTAGGCCAAAAGCTCTTCTCGAGTCCACGCCACTCCGGAAGCACCACTAATAAGACGTCCCACCTCGGCACTGGTGAAGGTAGACAACCAATCCAGCGGAAAAACACGCTCAAGACCAGCTAAAGTAAGTTTACACAAGAGAATACGTGACAAGAGTGCGTACAGACATCGACATCACTGTCACAAAATCCTACCCTTGAATGCATCCATTTGAGCTCTAATGCCTTTGTCCAGGCAGTACTCCAACGTTCTGCGAATGTACAATGTAAAGTTCTCATTGGATATCGGTTCCAAAGGCTCCTCCTTGATGGAGATGCCGGACGACTCCCAAGGGTAAACATCCAGCAACTTCACTTTCGAGTCAGCCGTCTTGTACCAAAAGAGAAGGAGTGAAGAGATGCGTCAGGCATTAAAAATAGAAAAAAAAAACCCTCACCGTTGTTTGGGAAATGAATTCCATGTTTAAGCAGAGATCTTGCAC